AAAAAAAAAAAAAAAAAAAAAAAAAAAAAAAAAAAAAAAAAAAAAAAAAAAAAAGTGTAGATTGGGATTTGATCCCAATCCCTTTTAGACCAGAATCTTAATCTGGCGCCTTAGACCAGTTCGGCCATCTCAACATGAAAAATTTGACTCAAAGTAGCCGTTTAGAACTCCCGCCAAAATCCGACTCCAAGTAGCCATTTGGAGCGGATTCCCGTTTCTCGCCCTACCTTTCTTTTAAAACTCTAAACCCTTTTTTTTTTTTTTTTTTTTTTTTTTGTCTTCTTCTCACCCCATAACACGGGTTAGGATCCTTGGTTAGGATAGGGTCAATTTGCCCCTTGGTTGACTTTGATCGACTTTTTTCAATTGGTACTATTTATCTTTTATATTTTTCTTGAGTTTCTAGGATTTTCTTACCATTTTTCTCTTTCAAAATGCTGCCCTCAATAAAATCCTGATAGATCGGACTAAAAAGTGAAAATTTTGAAAATTAATCATCGTTAATATTTAGCGGCTACAAATACTTCCCTCCTTCAAAACTTTGCCCCTGAAAGTTGCTTACGCTAGAATCTCAGGGTAGGACATCCTCTTGTCTGTTTTCCTTGCTTAAGATTCCAAGTTGTCACGGCGGTAACTCTATGGTACAGACATCCACTCACTACACATCCTCCTAGTCACATGATTACATTCATATAGATTCTAAAGGCTAGGGTCTCGTCCCTGAGAGGGGGGTGTCAGACCACAAAGGTTAACTTAGTAGCTAGTCGACACACGGGGATCACACCATTAGTTGAGCTAAGAATTGATGTCTTGTTGATAGGTGAACTGCCTCTGAACCCAAAAGTATAAAACCATATTAAATTATATATTATTTTTAAAAAAACTAATGAAAAAAAGTAAATATTGTTGAGAGTGGGATTTGAACCCACGCCCTTTCGGACCAGAACCTTAATCTGGCGCCTTAGACCAACTCGGCCATCTCAACATGAAAAGTTTGAGTCAAGGTAGCGGGTTAAAACTCCCACCAAAATCCGACTTGAGCTGTCAAAGACAAAATCATCCTTGTCCTTTCTAAGTTTCAAGCAATTCTGGTGGGATATTGTATCGAAGTCATTCAATTAAGTCTTGATCCAGTTCAATTGTGAAGTGACACAATTTAGAACAAGATTCTAGATCTTTGATCTTTAAAGTAATCTAATTCTAGAATTTTCTGTTAGTTGATCCGAATTTTGTATAAAGAATTATTAATTTCTTTGATTCAACGGTTATTGCTTCATCAAAAGCTTGGATCGTTGGGTATGAAAGTACACGTATTGCTGATTCGAGATGCTTGTTGTGTGGTACATCACCTCAAGCTCCACTCAAAGTCGAAATTACGTATACATTTGCAAGAATATTTATAGCCAAATTCAGCAAATATAACCGTTCATACAAAATTGCAACCATAGAGCATAAGCAGAGATTCAAGAACTCAAAACGCATCTAAACTTCCTTAATTCTCGTTCTCATTTGTACATGAAATTGATATCAATGCCCATACACAAGACATAAACACTTAGTTTTCAAGTTATGATTTGATACACACGTCTCCTATGCTCTTCAACTTCTTCACTTGGGAGTAAAAGCCTGTAAAAAAGAAGAACACAACAGTTAAACCCTAAATTTACCACCCTATTTAATCTCAAGACCTTCCAAATCCTAGGTTAAAACTTACGGCGAAGACGGTGGCGTGACCGGGATCGGCAAGGTGCGCGAAAAGATTGTCGATGGGACCGGTGCCAGTGTAAATGTGTTGAAACCATGCACCCATCACTGCCAACATAGCCAATCGACCGTTCTTGATCTCTTTAGTTCTCAACTCCTTGATCTTTTCGGGTGACCCGCTACCCCATCCGAGCGGGTCGAACCACAGCCCTCCTGGGTACCCAACGTCCGTTCCGGTGAGCTTGTTGTTGGGGAAGATTGGGTCGGTGTTGACGCAGCCGGGTTTAAGGATGTCGGCCCACCGTCTACCCTCGGCCCAACCGATGAAAATGAGTTCCACGACGAAGAGGGTGGTGGTGTCGGTGAAGTATTCCAATTCTCCGGCGGTGTACCATGATGGAGTGTTCAAAATTCCGATCTTTGTCAAGAATTCCGGGATGAAAATTCCGGCAGCGCCTAACATTGCCCACCGGCAGTGCACCAGCTCCGCCTGCTGGTTCCATCTCAGGCTCTCCGGATCAGAAGCTACCAAAATACAGTACAAAAATTAAAGGGTGATATTTTTAATTACGCTACAATTATATATATAATTACTAAATATATATATATATATATATATATATATATTGTTTTTATTTAATTATTTATTCTTCAACAACTATAATAATTTTTAATTATATGAAAGGTAATTTTTTAAAATATATATTGAATTTGAGTTAAAATTTTTAATTAAATATTTAAAAATAGATAAATATATATTTTTTGAGCTAATATTTTATTTATAAGTGTAAATAAATGACTCGGACAACCTAAACCGTTCGGTTAGGTTTAATTCATTGTTTAATAAAAGATGTATATATTGAAATTTTTTAATATTTGAACTATTGAGTTGAGTCTAAAAAATGTTTCAGTTTGATCCAACTCAATTCACTTATACTCAATAGTAGTTTAGTAGTGGTTTAACACTTACAAAGACCAAGAGGGTCGAAGCCAAAGTCACCGGGGAGGCTACCGTCGAGCCACGGAGGAGGGGTGCTACCAGGGAACCAAAGGGGTCTGTTGGGGTCAGCAGCGGCACAAACCGGAGCAGATCGAGGAGCAACAGCAACGGTGGTGTACTTTCTTAGCCTCAATTTCTTCCCCGTTACGAAATTAGAAGCTTTTGGACACCCGTTCTTTTGAGAACTACAAAAAGTTTAGCTTCATAATTAGTAATTTAGTTGATACAACTGGAAAATAAAGAAGATGAATAAGAGATAAGTTGCCTGGATGAAGATATTGCGACCGTTGCAATGGCAGAAGAAGCACAAGCCGAGGCCATTTCGAGTTAGATCACTTTAGTTGTAAAACGGGAAATTTATGTGATGAAGATGACCGTGTGGGTTTGGATTGAATCTTAGTTCGTTAATGTATGCAAGGGCATATCTAAATGGATAGGGGAGGGGATGTGCAATTGGCTGAATCACTGCCACGTGGCATTGAGAATCTGATATCTGCCACGTCCACCTCGGCTCGTTTCTGCTTACCTGGAATAATCTCAAGCTGTGTGGCTCTCCTTTCAAGTCCGTGGCAATCATACCCTTAAATATCGGGTCCAATCAGTATCCAGATTGAGATTTTGCGCCACGTGTCTCTCTCTGTATGGTTGTTGAATAATCTTTCTAATTTTTGGTAAACCGAAATATATTTTATTTTTATTATTTAAAAAAGAAAAACCCAACTATGTTTTAAACCATTAATATTTATTTATTATTATTATTATTTTTTTAAATTTCTCCTAGCATTTGAGAATCTCTTATACACAATAGAAAATCGAACTTCAAAAAAGTGAAAAGACATCGGGAGAAGCAAGGACTCGGAACGCCATCAGCAACATCAATAGAAAATTCCTCTCCCAATGCTCGTTTCATTTGGACATCGTGAGTTTTACCCTCTCCAAACTTCTCCCGATGCCATATGAAAAGGCGTTTGGAGAGGCTACGAATTAAATCCTTTAAATTTCTTCTTTCCCGATCTAATCAATACACAACCAAAGCCTTTCACGATCGGTTCCATGCTCTTCATCTAGCTCCAAATGATTTCTTATCTCCATGCTCGGTACTTGCCACCTCACTGTTGTCATACCCTCTCCCACACTTTGTTAACACCGACATCGTAATGTGAATCTTTTTTGCCTATCTCGTCCATGTCGATCCCTCTTAACATTTTTTTTTCTTCTATATTGTTGGAATATTCTATTCTAAGATACAAAATCATAAAGAAAGAGCTTACCTATAGGATTAGGTTGGGTTGGATCATGAACTCTATTCAAGTTGTTTGGGTTCGTGAGGCCCATTTAAAACTTATGTTTGTGTGGCCCATTTAAAGCTGAAAGCCCAAAATGAATGGGCTTTAGAAGGCCCATTAGGCTACCTGTTATTAGTCAAGCCCAGCCCAACAATAATTAAAAATCACAAAAAGAGATAATAAATAAATAAATAAAATATAAAAAGAAAAAGAAAATGTAATAAAAAAAAATGATGAGGGGCACATGAGCTTTGGTGAGGTTAATAACCACCAAATCTTTTACTTAAATTTAAATGAATGATTAGATTTGGGATTTAGGAAGTAATTAAGGCCAAATTACAAGAAACCACCGACCAAATAAACACACATGTGATGAAGTTAGGTGGATGATGATTATGAAACAAAGTGGTTTTTAAGGAAGCAAATTTGGTGGTTAGTTTTTACAAATCCATCCTTAAAAGAATCAAATCATTTTCATGTATTGTCTTTTTGTTTTTGTTTTTTTTAAACAAAATTATTATCCCGTTTATCTATCTGAACGTACAAATTTTTCTTGTTGATTTCTTGTTTGTTTGTGATTAGTCGGAAAATTCATTTTCGAGGGTTTTAATGTGAATAGTACATGAGAGAACGAGTAGAAAATATTTATTTATTTATCGAGGGTGGTGTAAAACCTAATTCGTGTGCCTAAAGCCCAATATATTTTTATACAAACCTTAGGGTTTCAGTTGAATATAGTCGAACATTGCACGCTAGTCGCTGAAACTACCGTTTGGAGGAGTAAACGGAGGGTTTTCATAAGACTTGTTCTTTGAGTCCAATCTCGATCTTGAATGGAACATACCTTTAATGTTTACCTCCAAATGTCCATATAGTAACTGAGGTACAACGGCCCAACGAAGTTATATTGTTGTTTCTTTTATGGATTGTTGGAATCGGACACAACCTCTACGTAGAAACAAGGTGAGCAATAAAACCCTATGATTTGTGGGAATCGTTGTATCATGTTAAGTTGGGTTGTTTAAACTTAAGTGTTTAATTGTAGACTCGGTATGAGTCAGAGTTGGACCAATATTTGTACAAACAATTAAAAAGAAGTCCTAAAGAAAGGGACATTTCTATTGAAACTTAAATGTTTTATTTTTCTATAATGGTTAAATATGTTGTCTGGTTGTGTGTTGTGTGGTATGATTATGTTTTATAGTAAAAATAAATGTTTTAAAACCTAATGCACGCATATTATGTTTGATGTGAATGGTGTGATATAATGTACGTTAGATCATAAAAATAAATATTTTTGGACCTAATGCATGCATATTATGTTTGATGATTTGGTAGATTGTGGTAAGGGTTATACCGTATGAGATCAAGCAATCACCCACTGTTGTTCACTCTATTGGGTGATTACATACACGCTGTGTGAATTAGGTAATCAGCCACTAAAGGTCACTCTGAGGAGTGATTGTTTTAAAATTGTTTTGGTGTAAAATTACACGTGGTGTGTTTTGGATAATTAACCACTAAGGTCCCTCGATTTCGTTTGATTAGCTATATGATAGTTTATATATTTGACCCCATTAGGAGAGTTTCTTACTCGTTATTTTAACACACATTTTTTTAAATGATTTTCAAACAAGCCATGGCACGGAAGTGACGAGCAAGGCGGAAAAGTGAACCATGGGACAACTCGAACTTTATGTTTTCATTGCTAGAACATTCCGACATTTAGTTTTTCATTGATTTTAATTGTGTTTAGAGGATTCCTAGTTTATGGGAACTAAGGAGTCTGCTAGCTTTGGTTTGATGTTTTTAAAATATTTATTAAATTTTTTTAAAAAATATTTATTTTAAAATTATAAATTTGATTTTTTAGTAATAGCTCTGACCACTATGTGTATGAAAAGTCGGGTCGTTACAAGTTGAAATCCACGGTTAGTGTTAATCGATAAGTTAAAACTAATTCGTAAGTATAGATAAATAGTATACGATGAGATCTTGCACGCTCTTAAAATTGTAAAATTTTATTAATAATTTCAACTTCTTTTACGGTTAGTACTAGGGTTAAAAAAACACTCACAACATTAGCACATTTTACCTTTATAAAAAAAAGAATAATTTAAAAAAATTATTACTGTTAATTATGGACGAAAATTGTCTATCAGATACTTCTTAAATTATCTCTAAACTTTTTAATATTATTTTTAAAAGTTCATTAGTATTTTAAAAATCGATAATATTGATTAAATATTTTTGAAACAAAATCTATGATTAAAATAAATAAAAATTTTATGGGTTAAATTGAAATATTCAAAATTTTACCAAAAATCATAATTAAAACAAATTTTATTTATTTATTTATTTTAAATTTGCTTACGACTTAAATACAATTTTTCATTAATTTTCATTAACAACTCTTAAAAATAAAATTTTCATAAAAAAGTAATTTTTCATTATAAATATTTTTACTTTTATTAAAAAAACTAAATTATTGACTCGCTCAACCTAATATTTAATAATTGTATTAAATTTATTATTTAACAAAAAGTAACTTAATAATTAAATTAAATTTACAAAAAAAAATTATTTTATTGGAAATATAAAATGGATGGCGCGTGGAAAATGAATTTCGATTCATATTTTCCAGTAGTTGCGGAGTCAAGAAGCGAAGAAACAACAGTGGCTACGCATCATTGACTGGACTCCCATCAATTACCAACGAAACGGCAACCAGTTTCGCGTTTTGATATTTCCATTTTTTTTTTAATTAATTAAATTCGGGGAAATCCAAGATAATGATTACATGGTTCGACTTTGGGGAAGTACTGGTAAAAAAGTCGACATTATTTTGTCGGATTTCTTGTCAGGTTGGGCCCCACAATAATCTGCTAAAACGGTGCGTTTTACCTTCACACACTCATAATGTTTCCACATGGTGCTGCTACCCTTGGATTTCTTTTTCTTTTTTAAATTATTTTTTGGTTCCAAATAATTTGGGAGAAATTCACAAATCTATTGCCAATTATTAATGAAAGCAAGCTCCAAAGTTTTTATGAGTAAATTGTAAGAATATTTTTATAAAAACTTTGCATTATTGGGACACAAATAATGTCCATGATGGCTTCGGATCATGGCTAAGATCTTGTCTATGACAGGTGTGAAAACCTCTTATACACGTGTTTTAAAACTTTGAAGAAAAACCCAACCGAGAATGTAAAAAAAAAAGGATAATATCTACTAGTGGTAGACTTACACTGTTGCAAAAGTAAAAGGCATTAAAACCAAGCACCGTGCAATGTGTCTCACTCCACTAAGGGGGTGAGAGGAACGAAACATTTTTTATAAACCATGAGACTAACAGTGATACGTAACGTGTAACTCAAGCTAATTTTACGAAAACATTAAACCAATTCAACTCAGCTCAACTCATAAAATTTTCATTTATTTGAATGTCAATCAATTCAAATAAGTTGATAATCGAACATAGGCCATATGGATTGAGTTTGGCTGATCGAGTTTTTTACGTCGTCGAATCTTTTGAACATACTTATATAAGTAAATAACTCAACTCAAACGATACACCGACATCAACATTCGATACATTCGATACAGCAAATCCAAATTACAATATGATGGGAACTATGAACACATGTTGGTCTAAAACAAGGCATTACACGATTTATCCTCTTGTTATTGTCTGTCTATAACACATGATGTTTTATGTATGGCTGAAAATTACTATTTATGTCTCAATGTTTTACGTATTTATTTACATTATTTTATCGTTATTATGTGTTAAATCATTAGTATAGGATAATTTGTTGTAATCTATTAACTTTCTAAATTTAATATATATATATATATTGTATTTCCATAAGACATCGATTACTTGAACTAACCGTGCACTTGACTCTGTTTCAACAAATATCGTCCATAATGTTAAAAATATTTATTAAAAAAAAAAACTCGAGTAGGAACCTTCGTAAAGATTTTTTCATTCATTCATCATACTCAAAGTATAGCCAAAGTCGATATATGAGCTCGAAAAAATAACGAGAATTAGTGTATGGAAACAATTAGGGAAATACATGAATTTGGTTGAATTTTTTTGGATTAACTTGAAATTTGTTGGCCC